CACTTTCTACGCTGCCTCCCGAAGCTAAACTCTCATTACTTTAAGTAACTGGCTAAGGTTAAATTTAGATACAGCAAACACATGTCATAAACTTTTTAAAAAGAGCCCAAATTTCAAACATTTCACCTCCTTCAATCCTTCATTCACTTAATGTTTAATGARCCCTATTATGTGCCAGACACTGTTTGGGGAGTGAACCAGGCAAGACGCAGTCACTTTTAACATGGAACAACCAGTCCAGTGGAGGAGACAGAAAATACACAAGTAACTGACTAATAAAAGATGATGACTTCACACGGAGGTATGGGGAGAGAACATTAAATAAACAGCACTATGTGGAAGAACGCAAGAGGGGGGCGAAGGCTTCTCTTGGAGGTGAAATTTGGGCTGAGTCCTAAAAGCACCCTGAAAAAAAAGTGTGGGGAGAACATTCCAGGTGGAGGGGAGAGCAGGTGCCACAGCTCCCGCCTGAAGACAAGCTGTACACAAAGGTGTACAGCCGAGAAAGGGAGGAAGCCCGGGGCGGCTAGGGCAGGGTAGGGAGAAGAATGTCAGGCCAGATTTGCAGGGAGACACTTGGCCTTCTTTCTACCAACCTCTAACCAAAACCCAGCACTGCCTGCCATCATGAATGTCAACAAGGGCCCACACAATGCTAGCAGTGCCTGGGGCACAAATGACACTCCTGTTAGAGTTGTGGCAGATATATGAAAGTATCACTTATGCTCATCCCAAATTCTAAATTACAATAGCTATTAGACTAGCTATTAGATCTTGTTATTTAAAGTATTAACAAAGAAGCACATACATTTCTATATTAAACATTTTAAAAGTATTTAATAACTGCATTTGAAAAGAACTGGTTTCCTTGGTAACCCCCTGTGGTCCCTTTCATATGTAAAAGCCTTGTTCTGAGAAGGGGTCCATGGACTTCACCCACAGCCAAAGTGCTTGCTACCCACAGAAAAGAGCTGGAGGTTTACCCCCAAGTAGGATAGGTTTTGGCAGGAGAATGATTCACAGGGCGGTTTTCAGTTTTTCAAAATCACTCCATTGCTGGGCAGAGCAGCCCGTGCTTCCCAGGGCAGCGCCAAGGCAGGCCAGGTCATGGCTTCAATGGAGGGGCCAGCGTCCCAGGGTCCGCGAGGGCTCTGTCCTTCCCTCTGATCCTGAGCCTTCCCATTGCACCACCCTACTATCCTCTGGCCCCGAGGGKCCCTGGAGCCTCAGCACAAGGCCTGCCCTGGGACATCCAGCCAAAGCGCTGCAGAGCCAGCGTGTGTGTCCACAAGAAAACAAATGCGGTGTCTGCCACTGTTTGGTTTGTGTATTGGTCTAGAGGAGAAATGAGATTTTGATTTAAGAAGGCTTCCAGCAGGACCCCAGCAGAGGCTGAACAAACACCACTGCAACTGCCCGCAAACAGGCGGCAAGCCCGAGCCCCAGCCCAGCCCACAGTCTGCAGCCCCCGGTCTGTGTCAGCCTCCTGTTTTCCTGGGCTTCTCTTCACACTGCACACACACACACACTTCTTTCAAAACTCTTCAGAAAACAAAAGCATCACTCCCGTCTGGCAGTACACCATTCTCACACCTGCCTGGGGTCCTGGGCCCTGCCAAGAGCCCCGTTTAAGGGCCTAGAATGGGGCTGGGGCCAAAGAGTGAAGCCCATGCACAGAGAGAAGCTCAGAGTCAAATCCTGTATTCCCAGGTCCCCTTCCAGCAAGRAGGGTATTAGAAGGTGAGGGCCATTTGGGTGCTCCTGGGGCAATGCCTGGGAAGCCCCTGGGGAGGAGGGAGGAGGGAGCAGGGAGRGTACCTGAGCATCTGGTGGCAGTGCAGGCTGGGCAGAGCACAGCCTGTGAGGCTCCTTCACCTCAAGGCAGAAGAGCAGTGTCTCAGGAGGCAAGTGGAGGGGAAGCAGAGCCAGGTCCTCGAATCTGGAACTAGGCTGCCTAGTGATAGACTGTCTGTGTCCTCCCCAAAACTGAGGTGGTGAAGCCGAGCTCCCTGTGACAGTGTGGGGAGGCAGCTCAGTCCCCAGGGTGGAGCCCTCTGGGCTGGGATTAGAGCCCTGGTAAGAAGAGCCCTGAGGGAGCTGCTTCCTCTCGTTTGATGAYACAAGGATACTACGATGCTGTCTGCAGGCCAGGAAGCAGCCTTGATCTTGGATTGCCGGCCTTCGGAACTAGGGAGTAAACACCTGTGTCAAAGCCTCCCGGCCAGTATGACTGGTTACCGCAGCCAGAGCTCAGACAGAGATTGAGAAGGAAGTCTGGAAGTGCGCATCCTGCTGCTGGTACGAGGTGAAACGGCAGCTCTGGAGTGGCCCCTGCGCTCAGCTGCCCCTTCCAGGGCCTCTGGCTGCAGAAAACTGGCCGGGTCTTTTTGGTGGGCGGGGGGTGGTTTTGAGTTTCTCTGATTCCCAGGCAGGGACATAGGGAGTAAGAAAGAAAACCCAAGAAGCTCAAAGTCCCCAGCCAGTCTGCCTTCTTTCCACCTCAGGAGTCTTCTTATGTCTGTTTTACACACAATGTCCAGGGTTTCAACTGCCCTTAGCAAGAGGGTAGGGAACAATGTATCCACTTCCTCTTATCTAGAACGGAAGCCCTTTAGTTCATATTTTTGTTTTATATTTATTATTATTATTATTATTAGTTGTAGATGGACACCATATCTTTATTTTATTTATTTATTTTTATGTGGTGCTGAGGACAAATCCAGTGCCTCATCCTTGCTAGGCAAGTGCTCTACCGCTGAGCCAAACCCCCAGCCCTTGTTTTATACTTTTAAGACACACGTGAAATAAATATAGTAGATATTTATTAAATCTTAATATATTAARATTTCTTTAATCTGGATGTACTCTCCCATCCGAAGCCCTTCCTGAGCCGAGCTCACTCACTCCTCCTCTTCTCTCCTTCACTCGTTCGTCCAGCTGACGTCTCTCGCACCCCTTCTGTAAGCCAAGTGCCAACCACACGGCCATGAACTTCAAAGATCCAGCCCCTTCCTGAAGAGCCACTCACACTGTGGGACAGACAGATGTGAGACAGTAGCCCGGGGAGGTGGTCTAGCAGAGCAGCCTGGAGGCTCTGGGCGACTCTGACCATGGCTAGTTTTCATTCAGGGCCAGGGGGACTTCTCTGAGGAAGTGGCCTTCAGAGCCTGTTATGCCCTCGTGACAGCTACCTGCAGACACCACCCAGGCAAATGACTTCCAAGGGTGGACTTGGCAGGCCAGGCCCCTCCCAGGTGGGCTTGGCCTGGGCCCGTCGCCCTGCCTCTCTGTAATCCCCACTTTGGGGAGCCTTTCTCCATGTTAAGCTCTCTCCTCTGGCTCAACACAAGGTCCTAAGGAGGAATGTAAGATGCCCCCGGGGCCCATAGTGAATGGGGAGTGAAGTGACATCCTCCCATCAGAAGAAAGCTAGGTTCTGCCTCCAGAAGAGGCATCTGGCAGCCAGCAGGCTCACCCAGGAGGAAGGTGACCGAAAAGACTCAGGCCACCCACAGGAGGGCCTTTCTGCCCTCAGGGGTGTGTGGTGACCATGGCAGCTGAGGTCCCCACCCCAGCCCAGTCTGAGGTCCCCACCTCTGGGCCCAGTCTCTCCAGGCCTAAATCAGAGTGACAAAGAATGAAATGATCTCTAGGGGGGWAATGGCCAATCACCAGAGGCGCTCTCCCCATGACTCTCTGGAGGCCACTTGTGAGTCCTGGGTAGTCCTGGATGGTAGTCTACCTGGCCACTCGTGAGTCCTACCCTGAGCTCTGCCAGCCCCGGGGGAGCAGCCCCTCCTCTCTCCCCCTGGGCCCGTTGATTCTCAGGTGTGAACATGGGTGTCCGAGGCCACAACTCAAAAGGGGCCAAGCAGGGCGGCAGCTGCTGGGAACTGCAGAAAGAACACTGGAGAACCCCTCTACTGTGTTCACAGTCATTATGTCACCTACAGCTAGGGAGACAAAGCCCAATGGACTAATAACCTGTCACGGGACCAGGAGAGAGGGYGGGATTGAGCCCAAGTCTGCTGGATCCAGAGCTGCAATTCCTTAGGCCAGCTCCACTCTTGGCTCCAAGGACCCTGGARATTCTGACCTCACGGAGGGGTTAAGGACGGCAGGTGCGACGCGGGGAGCTCCCCATCCTGCAGCACCTACCTTGCTTGCCCACTCACATCTGYCTTTGTGGGTGCAGCCGGCATCTTTTCTTCTCATAAATGCCAATCAAGTGAGCCCCTCCCCTACACTGGACACTGTAGGYTATCCAGTCCTGGGTGGGCCTGAGTATCGTAAAACATGTGTACATGTACGTGACCTCTGACAGTCACAGGCAGTTGAGGGGCCTTCCTGTAGCAAGGGAGGTGCCCACCCCAGGGCACACTGGGGAGGAGGGCCAGGTCMGACCAGAACAAAGGACCAGCCTCCTCATGCCCACCCACAGGAGCCCTCACCCAGTCACCCTGGCCTCTTGCCTACAGCCATGTCCTCAGCGGGGGCACGTGGTGTGTTGGCTGTGCCAGTCCCCACAGGAGATGAACTCCTGCCCTCGTTGGAGGTGGCTACATGGGGCTGAAGAGAGAAGGCAGGGCTGTGTCGGTGGGCAGCAGCTCCGTGGTGGGCGTCACCATCTCCAGCAAGAGAGGAGGAGAGCCCAGAGCCAGGCTGTTCCCCGAGGGCAGGGTGCACGGGCTCCAGGGAGGAAGAGAGGAAAAGCTCCAGGTGGGGCTCAGAGCCAGGTGMCCCCCACTGCCCTCCCCTGAGCTGTGCACCTTGGGCCAGTGACAGAGCCACTCTGCACCTCGGTCTCCCCATCTGAGTAAAGTAACAGCAGCTGCCGCCAAGGGTGACTGGGAAGTGGTCATTGCAAACAGTCAGTGACTGCTGGCTGCATCTTTATGCCCGTTAGCAAAGACGTCGGCCTCAAGGGCTCCCTGGACATTGCGTTACCAGAGTGGCCTCTGACTCACTGCACAGTGGCCTGAGGGGGTCAGCGGGCTTACCTATGGTCCTCCGGAGATCTTCACACTGGCTGATGTGAGGGAACTTCAGGATTTCCTTCCACTTCTTGCTTTTCCCTTTGCGCTTTCCTCCGCCCCCTGCAGAGGTGGGAGAAAGATGGTGGGCAGATGTTTGTGCTGTCCCAGGCCCAGCCCCTGCGTCCCACCCACTGAACCAGCTTCCTGGGCTGGGAGGCGGTGGGGGCTCTAGGTCGAGCCAGTGACCCCACCCCCGCCCCAAGCTCAAGATGCACATGCTTCTTCCAGGAGGTCCCACGGGGGCCTCCCATCCAGCAGAGAGCCCCCCGCTTCCCCACCACACCAGCATCCCGTCTCTGCTCTTCCCATGGCATCTCCCAGCCCTTCAGCCCCTGGGTGCCTGGTAACTGGCAGGGGCCAGGCCTGTGACATCCTACCTCTCCCTGTGGCCTGGGCGCTCTTCATGGAACAAGGCCATCAGCCAGGGGACTGCGGCCACCTCACTGCCCTCATTTCTCCCTCCTGTTTCCTACAGAGTCTCCTTCCTCAACTGGGCCAGATGTGGGGACCAAGAGTTTGATTTCCACTTGTCCTGGGTACCTCCTCCCTCAACCTCCCAAACCCAGAGCCTCTGAGGACATATTTCTCAAGACTAGAAGGAAGGACTCCTGAAAGGTCCTGTCCTCCCTCCTGTCCACCACAGTGTGCAGATATAACAAACACGTATGTGTAATGAAAACGTGTCACGAACAGGCATGTGTAGGGGCACACGGAGGTGGATGAGGTGCATACTGGGTTCCCACCAGCCCTGCCACTCCTCCCAACCAGGGGACAGGAGACAGCCATCAGAGAAGCACACAGCAATGGGTGCCATCTCTGTGTCTCTGGACCTAGGACCTGGAGGTATCTAGACCATGTGGCCAGGGGTCCCTAGGAACCCAAATGCTGTTGTCAACCCCATCCCCACAGTGGCCCTCAGTTACCATCTGCCAGTGACTTTTCCAGAGCTCATATGGTCCTTTGGGCACCCAGTATCTCAGGATTTTAAGGGCCCTTTACTCCTTCAGGGTCCCAGGAAGAACGCTAGCTCCCTGCTCTGGGTGGGTGATGGCCTTTTCACTCACTGGYCCTCCCAGGAAGGGTCTGGCCAGGACAGGGCCCCTTCCCCTGGCTCCGCCTGGCTCAGCCCTGTGGCCTCCCAGCTGTCTATGCACACCTGGGCATGCAGCCCCTTCTGAGCCCTCTGTGAACTAGAGACAGGAGGCCTTCCTCGTGACGCTGACAGGATAAGGAGGTAGTGAGCATTCAGAGGCAGGCACAGAGCAGGGCTGGGGTCCCTACCCGTCATCCCCACTGCCCTGGAGAGCCAAGGCTGAGGCCTGCTCAGCAAGTGGGCCGGCTCAAGTGCTGGTGGCCACGGAGTGGGCAAGGGAGCTGATGAGGCAGGGGACACAGGGCCATGTCTTCATTCTGCTCATCCTGCCTCTCCTGGCCAGGCCCAGTTTCCTCTCCCTGGGTCCCTGTAGATGGCAAAGGCCTCAAACTTCAAAGGACAGAACAGTATGTATTGGGCACCTGCCATGGCCAGCCATCACTTGAAAAGACCTCATGGTTCCTGAGAACGGCTGAGGGTGAAACCACGGGCCCATGTCACAGGTGAAGACACAGGTGTGCATCCCACTCCATGCTCATTCCTCCACCCCCACCCAGAGCCCCCCCACACACACATGCGCACGCGCACACACACACACACACACACACACACACGAGCACTTGGGCTGGCCCTGCCTGGACTGAGTCCACGCTCCATCTCCCCGCACTCTTCACTTCACTCTGTGTGGTGGGAAGGACTCTACTCCCCCTGGGCAGATGAGGAAACTGAGACAGCGGGAAGAGAGAAGCAAGGTGGCAGAGCCTTCAGGACCCCGGCTGAGGGGACTCCTGGACCAGGGATCTGGCCCTTGCTGTCTGGACTATACACCCAAGGGTGCACTACAAGCAAGAGGAACTCTCAGAGGATCCAAGAGAGCTGGTGTCAGACCTCAGACGCCACCCAGTGTGTGATGATGGGGCAGGAGCCCGAGGCCCACGCCGGCAGGCGCCCTGGAACACTGCCAAGCAGACCAGAGCCCCGCAGGGTTCGCTCGGCCCGACCCACATGTGGCTTCTTTGTTTGCCTGCTGCTCAATGAGCYAGTTGCCAACAGCTAAACACCAGCAAGTTTCACACACAAACCCAGCTTTTGGACTGCTCACCCACAACCAGGCTTCCCACATGCGAGAACCAGCTGGAGCTGGGCAGCAGCTGCCCCATGGACAGGACACGTGGCCTCCAGATGAGCTGTCCCCAACAGCTGGGGTCCTCTTCAGGTGGCCCGCCTGGCCTCTATAGAGGGTCACATGTGCACCCCCAGGGAAGGGGCACCCTCTCAAGAAACCAGCCTAAACCATAGTAGGTGGGCAAAGTCAGGTCTGTCCCAGCAGCTCACGGGCTGGATCTCATCTGGTCACATCCCTCCTGTTCCCTGTATATACACTACTGATTCCCAGACCTGGCTGGGACAAGGCACCTGGGTGTGGGTGATAGAATACACATAACATAAAATTTACCATTTTAGCTATTTTTAGACATACAATTAAGGCGCTTTAAGAATCTTCTCAGCATCCCGAAAAAAAATGTGTACCCATTAAACAATTCCCCATTCTCCCTCATCCCAGCGCCCTCTAGCCTCGGTTCCACTTTCTGTCTCCATTACTTGGGTCACCTCACATACAAGGAATCACACAAGACGTGTCCTCTGTGCCTGGCTGGCCTTGCGGAGCACCAGGTCTCCCAGGTTCGCCCAGGCTGCCGCAGGATCTCCGCTTTCTAGGGCAGAATCCTATAGGTGGTATGGATACACGTTTTATTTATCCACTCATCTGTTGAAGGACACTGGAGCTGGTTCTACTCTAAGGTTCTGCTGACCAGTGCTGCTCCATAGATATTTGCATACGAGCAAATACATGTCTGAGTCCCTGCTTTCAATTCTCAGAGATGAGTGGCTAGGTCCTATAGAAAGCCAATGTTTAACTTCCTGAGGAGTCCAGGATCTACTCTGTGTGTGTGTGTGTGTGTGTGTGTGTGTGTGTGTGTGTGGTACTGAGGATCCAACCTAGGGCCTCGCACGCGCTAGGCGAATGCTCCACCGCTGAGCCACAACCCCAGCCCTCGACGATTCACTTTTTTTTTTTTAAACATTTTTCTCTTAGTTGTTGATATATCTTTATTTATTTATATATGGTGCTAAGAATCGAACCCAGTGTCTCACACATGCAAGGCAAGTGTGCTACCACTGAGCCACAGTTCTAGCCCTCGACGATTCACTTTTATTTTTATTTTTTTTTTTAATTTTTTTTTTTTTTTGAGAGAAGAGAGGGGGGGAGAGAGAGAGAGAATTTATTTATTTATTTTAGTTTTTTTCGGCGGATACAACATCTCTGTTTGTACGTGGTGCTGAGGATCGAACCCGGGCCGCACGCATGCCAGGCGAGCATGCTACCGCTTGAGCCACATCCCCAGCCCGACGATTCACTTTTGACAATCAGATTTCAAGGTTGCGGCCCAACTCTCTGATTGGACCCCAGGGAGGTAACTCCTTATAAGGCTCCCAGGTATTTCTCAGGCAGCCAACTTTACTCACACATTTATGTACACAGTTTTTATGGACTGGTTTTTTCATTAATTCAAGAAAATTAACATAGATTCATTAGTTCATTCAACCAATGTTGAGTAACTCCCAAGTGACAGGCAGGTGGACAGGTGGGTGCCAGGACAGGGCTACGTTGAGCAGTGAAGACAGACGTCAACACTTCACTCCAGTGATCACCATGCCCCTCGAGGCTGCCCCACTCCTACCCAGTGAACATCTGGTAATGTCTGGGGACATTTTCAATTGTCACAGCTAGACTGGAGAGACACTACTGGCATCTGGGAGTCACAGYCCAAAAATGTGGTTAAGCGTTGTACCATGCCCAAGACAGACCCCTAGGACTCTGAATGATCAGCTCCAAAATGCCAACGGTAGCGCTGAGGGGAAACGCTCCTTTAGTTGRTGGGAGTTTTGACCAACACTTAGGGAAAGAACGGGGGTTGGAGATTTGCTAGTCACAGGGCAGCCATGGTCGGGGGGGTAGAGGTGGCAGGAAAGACGAGACCCAGAGGATGATGCTGAGGTGGTGTCAGGGAAAGAGGGYGGGCCCCACACAGTCTGGTGGTCTATGTGATGTGGAAATTAAAGAAATGCAGCATTTCTCAGACACAAAGTCAGGGGCATTGGTCCTGTTAATAAGACATCATCCCTTGCTCCTCACTTCGGCCCTGGTAGGCAGATCCTACTACTGAGTCCATCTTGCAGAAGCAGAAACAGAATTCCAGGAAAGCAAGAACCCCTCCTCCAAGCACTCGGGCCATCTGTGACCACCGGAACCAGGCTCCGGTGTCCTTCCTCTCACACTAGTGCTCAGTGGCCACAAGTGAGCAACGCATCAGAGGGGGGGAAGCTGAGGAATCTCCACACGTATGTGGGCAGGAGCATCCCTCTTGCCCTCACATCAGTGGTTCTGCGTGCCCCCCACCGGGGAGCGACAGCCTCCTCCCAGAACTTGTTAGAAATGCACATTCCCACACCAGACAACTCCGGGAGGGCGGGAAACTTGGGTTTCAATGAGCCCCAAGGTGGTTCTGATGCACACTGGTGTGAGAACTGCCCTAAATCCAGAGAAAGTCCCAAACGTCACTTAGCTCAAACCCAAAGATGGGCTGCTCTTTCTGGGAACTTCTCCCTCTGACTTCTCTCTGCCTCCCCACTTCTAAAAAAGATCTACAGAAGCACACAGGGGTTTGGTCACATGGACTAAAAATTTTCCCCCTAGCTCCCAAATTTGGTGGTCCTGGGCTCTGATTCTGACAGGTCTCAGGCGGCTGTGTCTTGCCCAACACAAGCTGAGCATTTGCACAGCAAGACACAAGTATTGAGGCCCCGCCTACTGGGGACCCTTTCCACAGAGCTCTTCAAGAGTCTTCTCAGAATCCTGGTTCTAGAGCACCAAGGAGMAAATCTGATTGGCTGGCCCATCTTT